GGTAAAAATCCTGCTGTTGTGGAGCTTACATTTTAGAGGATGCAGACAACAGTGAAATACAGAAGTCCTATGGAAAACAAAGCAGGAAAAGGAGAGTATATTGGTGGCAGGGAGGTGTAAATACAGTAGTTAGCGCCGGATGTGTGGCTCACACCTGTAATGCCAAGACGGGTGGATAACTTGAGGTCAGGAGTTCAAGACCAGCCTGGCCAACATAGTGAAACCCCCGTCTCTACTAAATATACAAATATTAGCTGCGCATGGTGGCCGGCAGATGCTAGTCCCAGCTACTCGGGAGGCTAAGGCAGGAGAATCACTTGAGCCAGGGAGGTGGAGGTTGCGGTTAGCTGAGATCGCACCACTGCACTCCAGCCTGGGTGACAGAGTCAGACTCTGTTTCAAAACAAAAAAAGTAGATGGTTCTCATTGATAAAGTGACAGCTAAAAAACCATAAAAGTTATGAAGGATTATGTGGATATCTATAATAGCAGGGGTGATACCAGGTGACTTACATACTTACAGAAGGGTCATTCTGGCTTTCAAATTGAAAATGGAAATAGTGGAAGGGCTTGAGGTAGCAATTGTTAGTGTTCAACCATACCTACTTCTTTTCTGGGTACTCACAAGGTAACATTCCAATGCCTGTGAGTTAGCCTCAGGTGATTAGTCTTAGCCAGTGAAACATGGATAGAAAAGATGTGCGGAGGCATTAATAGGTATTAACAGCTATTGGGATTCCTCTGCACTTTTTCTGTTGTCATAACTTTAGAAACCATGTGCTAAGGTGCTGTTGCAAAATGTAGGGAGCCTGGTTCTCTTCCCTGCAGGTGGGGACAGGCTTTACTGATCTACACTAGATTTTGTGAGAGTAAGAAATACATTTTTGTTGTATACACAGGTTTCAGAGTCTGTTAACAGAACGTAGCTACACAGCTAATACAGGGAAGAAAGGAGACCTCTTAGGAAGCTATTAGAATGATCAGATTGGAATGTTCTCCCATCAGAGGTGGGAGAAGTTAAACTTTGGATATATTCTGAAAATAGAGCCAACAGAGACAGTTTGATAAGGAGCAGTTAAATCCTGCTCCACCAGTTTCCCAGCTCCACCTACCTACATTATCAGGTGATTACCCTCTCTCCCACCTCTCCTCTCCACCTGACTCTTTACTATCACCACCACCAACTTCCAAACAAGACAGGAGGTGGAGTTTATAAAGAAAACTGAAGAAGTTCCTCATTCAGGGACACTGAGTACATAGAGGAGATAAGGAGAATAAGTTTACTAACTGAATGAAGAAACACCAGTCTAGTTCCCAAACTTCTGAGGCCACTATATAGACAGAAGATTGGAGGATCTTCCTTTAGAGAAAATAGTATCTCCAGAGATAAGACCTGCAGACACTGACTTACAGGGAGGATCCAACAAAAACCATTCATCTTTTGATGATGCCATGGTGAAGTCCAACAGTCAATAAGCCCTACTTACACACAAACCTTTTAATAAGCATTCAGCGTTTCAATCTTTAATAGAAATAGCAAGCAAATGAAAAGCCCAAAAAGGAAACACAAAATGGTACAGCCACTTTGGAAGACGATTTGGAAAAAAACAAATACCATACAATCCACCAGCTGAGCTCCTTGGTACTGTATCCAAAGGAGTGGAAAACTCACATCCACACAAAAACATGAATATGAATGTTTCCAGCAGCTTTATTTATAATTGTCAAAACCCAGAAGCAACCAAAATGTCCTTCAGTAAGTGAATGGATAAGCCGGTACCCATGGAATATTACTCGGTGCTAAAAATGAGCTATCAAGCTGTAGGGCTGAGGCGCAGGATCCGAAAAATAAAGAGACAGGACACAGAACTACAAGGAAAATGCAGCTAGGCTCAAGGGGTCCACACCACCTATAAGCAGAGTCAGGCGAGGCCCTGAATGTCCAGAAGCATGAGTATTTGTGTATAGGTTAGGGGGCAGGGCAGTGAGTGAAATCATCTTTAAGGATAGTGATAGGGTCATGAGCAATAAAACAAGGGGTCCACCCCTATTAGGTCACCTAGGCTAGGAGGTGGACAGTGCGCAGCAAGGGGTCCATTCCCATTAGGTCATCAAGGCAAGGAAGTGGGCCGTGTGCAGTAAGGTGTCCACCCCCATTAGGTCACCGAGGCATGGAGGTGGGCCATGTGCAGTGAAGAGGGTGGAGTGTGCAATACCTCTATCTATGAGCAAACTACTTCTAAGAGAAGATTTATGGGGGGATGCTTTAAGTCACACAGTAGTGACAGAGCTGACAGGGTTACCGCCACCTGCTGGCAGCTTCCAATGAGTTCTATAGGAAGATGCTTTTCGAGCAGCACAGTAACAAGAGCTGATAAAGTTCAGTCACCAAGGTGCGATTGCCAGTCTGAGGGCAGCCTTCCACAAAAACTGGAGCAAGGTCCTACAACTCCTTTATCAGGAGGAGGGGCTCTTGCCCCAAGCCTGCCATACAGCGGGTATCCTTACGATACTGAATGCTGCAGCCTGTGCCATGGAATCTTGGCCTGGAATAACTGTTTTTCCCTCAAATTATGCTCTGCAGTCTCTGCTCTAGGCATTCCTCTGATTATAAGCTGCTTCTTAATTCATGCTCTGTACTGTGTCTACTCTAGGCATTCCTCCGATTATGAACTTGATATAATTATATGTGTGTGTGTAAATATATATGTGTGTGTGTGTGTAGGTAAATATTCTTTAGGCACTCATACTATGAACTAATATATGATTATATACAGAGGGTTATATAAAGGGCAATAACTTAGTAACATTATAAACTGAGATAATCTTCAAGCCCTAATTCTATAAACTAATATATGATTATACATAGAGGATTATATAAAAGGAAATAACTGAGTAGTAACACTATAAACTGAGATATTCTTCAGGCCTTAATTGTGCCAGGGTTTTGCTTAGCTCTCCTTGCTCGGTGCCTATATGGGGGTTTACCCACATCAAGCCACAAAAGACACAGAATTTAAACGTTTATTACTAGATGAAAGAATCTCATATGATGTGGCTCCGTGTGCCCACTGAAATCTCATGTTGAATTGTAATCCCCAGTGTTGCTGGAGGGACCTGGTGGGAGGTGATTGGATCATGGTGGGTGATTTCCCCCATGCTGTTCTCCAGACAGTGAATTACCACAAGATCTGGTTGTTTAAAAGTGTGTAGCACTTCCCCACTTTGCTCTCTCTCTACTGCTCCCATGTGAAGATGCTTGCTTCCTCTTCACTCTTCTGCCATGATTGTAAGTTCCCTGAGGTCTCCCAAACAGGCTTCCTGTACAGCCTGTGGACCTATGAGTCAAAGAGTATGAATGTGAACTAAAGGACCACTCATCTGGTCAAAACCTGATCTATTATAAATCAGAGAAAAAATATTAAACAATATATGAAACAGTTGAAGTTTTATGTTAAGCTTTTCTAATAATCACTTCCAAAGAAATTAAGCTAATAAATGTTCAAAATGATTTTATATAAATTTTTAGCTCTGAGCTAATATGTACAGCTAATCATCTCTGCATAAACAATTTGTTTCAACTTTTCATGTAAACATAGCAAAAATTCCTGGAATGCAGATTTGAATAATTACACTTGAATTCTTTTTAATTTTTTATTAAAAATGAAAGAAACACAGCTTAAACAATTTATTTACAATTTTACAATGTTTGAAACGGCTATCCTATTCCTGTTAAAGCTTCTTATTTAAAAATGTCTACATGATATGTGCTTGTACAAGGCTTGAGTATCAAACTTAACCACAAATGTGACTTTCGCAGCTTTATTGCACAATGATACACATAACACAGCATTATTTGCTTAGTTTAGCCTACATCATAAAGTGCTATTCATATATGGGAAAGTAACAGCCTGCTAAACAATGAAATTCTTCATGATATTTTCTACTTGAGTTGAGGGTAAAAAGCTAATTTAATGCTACCAGCCTGAGTAACGGATTTCCATTAAAAATATAACAACAACAAACAAAAACAGAAAGAAACAAACAACAACAGAAAAACAGGCCTAAAAGTTTTGGTTACTCTGTTAAAACATGTCAAAAGCATTCCACAAATGATTTCCATCAATTATTACTGCTACAATGCATAACAGTAGTTTCTTAACATTTTAACTTCCAAAAAATGAGTAGTTTAAATAAAAACCACCTACCTGAAAGAACGCCTTTCAAAAACAAGACATACAGTTTAGATAGAATATAATTCCTCGAATTAAAAGATATTTTAAAGGGTACACAGTCATTGTGATCTTAGTTATCATTTCTAAGTAAATTTGCATTTTTACTGGCTGGTATTAGAAATGCGTATTAGCAGTGAAAAACAGAAAATGCTACACAAGTGAACAATGTTATAAAAATTTATATGTAATGCTACTAAAATATATAATAAACTTTTCAAACAGGTAAATGTAAACCAGGAAAACCTGACAGGTAATAATTGTGCCAACACTGAAAAGCACAAAACACGATAAGGGGGTAAAATAATAAACATGACTTTAATACCAGTCCATCTTTACCAATATAATCTGAAAAATAATTATTCAACATAGAACAAATATTTTTACAGAATAAGAAAAATTAAAGATAAATTTCTCTGAAAAAAAGGATATAAAGTGAGAAGTTTAATGTGTTAGCTGAGAACTTTGTGTCTTCTGCAAAAGAAACCATGCTTACTACTCATGCCGGTAAATTAGTGTTATAGCTAAGCAGGCTCTTAAAAATGTCCTTAACAATACAGTCTGTGATGTTAACAAAACAGTAGTATTCCTTTTCCAGGCAATATACTTTTAATAGTCACACACTTTAAAATACATAATTTTCCACTTAAGTATACTACAATTTTTTGGCGTTTTTCTTTTTATCTATCTAGAACTTTGTTTTCCTATTAAAAAGAAATGCAAGACACACTGCTTAATACTAATTCCTATCCATAAGGCATTTATAAAATATCTTCTCTTAGGACATAAACATGATATTAAAAAAAATGAAACACAAGAGAAGCATAATAAATACTTTTGTATCCCCCCATAAGGATAGTGTCAGCAACACCAGCTGACATAAATAAATTAGATATACTGTGCATAAAGAAAAAGACAATCCAGTTGCAAAGTTAACCATTTCAGTATTAACTTGGAAAGAACGTCTTCACTTCATCATTTGTGAAAGGCAGAACAACGACATGAAAGACACAGGCTGTTTAGGTTTTCTGTATTTCAAGATGAATCATACACAAACACAAGTGTGGTGACAGATCACTCAGCGATATGTAATTAGTAACAAAGGTTAACGCTAAGGCATTGCTTTGCTCACAGTTTTTATGCTGAGTCACATCAGATGTTTCAACTACATGTTCTCTTGGTATTCCAGATATTTTGCTGTGATGGGCTCTTCAAGCTGAATTCCTCCACTGCCCATTAAGGCAAATGCTGGATACAGTGTATGTGAACAGTCCACTTGGCGCTCATAAAGGCATTTCATGTGATCCATATCATAGAAACTTACTTTTCCTTTATCATAGTCAAGGAAAATCCCAATGCTTGTTGGCATAGGAAGAACTCTATTTTCAGGATCATTAGAAGAAGTAGGTGACTTGGGTATAAAAAATTTCTTCATGCCTATAGTAACTAAGGTAAAGGGTTGTGAAGAATCAAAACAGGCATCCTCACTTCCACTGTCATGCCCACTGTCCTGCTCATATCTGAAACATAATATACAAAGCATCTGTATCTTCAACCACAGGTCTAAGTATGTTCAAAATATTTTCACAGGATAATATGTACTGATGTAAAGTTAAAATGATCTTTACACCAAAAGCTTTCTATTAAAATGAAATCAAAAACATAAAAGTAACACAATGCCATTTATAATTATACCATAGACTCAGCCCCAAATTCCATCATTAAACACTGTTTTTGCTTAGTTACATACACAAGGGTAACCCTAGAAAATCATTGATAATTTTGGCCTTCCAAAGAGTGAGGGAGCAGGCAGTGAAGGAACTGGTCAAACATTAACATTTTTATAGCACACAATCATATACAGTCATGCACCACATAACAATTCAGTTAACAACAGACCTCATATACAACAGTGGTTCCATAAGATTATGATGAAACTAAAATATTTTGGCCAGACACAGTGGCTCATGCCTGTAATCCCAGCACTTTGGGAGGCTAAGGCAGGTGGACCACTTGAGGCCAGGAGTTCAAGACCAACCCGGCCAACATGGCAAAACCCTGTCTCTACTAAAAATACAAAAATCAGCCAGGCATAGTGGTGCAAACCTGTAGTCCCAGCTACTTGGGAGGCGGAAACACAAGAATCACTTGAACCCAGGAAGCGGAGGTTGCAGTGGACTGAGATTGCGCCACTGCTCTCCAGTCCCGGTGACAAAGCGAGGCACTGTCTCAAATAAATAATTACTACTGCTTATTGATGTGGTAGCCACTGTAAGGCTACCTGTTACATGTTTGTGGTGATACTGGTGTAACAAACCTGTGCTGCCAGTGTATAAAAGGACAATTACACACAATTACGCAATACTTGATAATAAGTGACTGTTACTGGCTTATGTATTTATTATACAATGTTTTTATTATTATAGATTTACTCCTTCTACTTATTTAAAAAAATTTTAACTGTACAACAGCTTTAGGCAGGCCCTTTAGGAGGCTTTCCAGAAGGTAGCATTGTTATCCTAGGAAATGACAGCTCTATGCATGTTACTGCCCTTGAAGACCTTCCAGTGGGGCAAGACGTGGAAGTGGAAGACAGTGATATAGATTATCTTGACCCTAGATGGGCTATTGTGTTTGTCTTCATTTTAACAAAAAGCTCAAAAAGTTAAAAAAATTAAAAGAAAAAAACTTACAGAATAAGGGTATAAAACAGTTTTTTAATAGATGTACAATGTGTTTGTGTTTTGAACTAAGTGTTCTTAAAAAAGAGTTAAAAAGTTTTTTTAAAAAATTCAAAGTTTATAAAGTAAAGCTAAAGTAAATTTATTTTAAAATATGTTTAAATAAACTTAGTGTACCCTAAGTGTACAGCGTGTTTATAAAGTTTATGGTAGTGTACAGCAATGTCCTAGGCCTTCAAATTCCTGCAAGTGCCATTCATGGTAAGTGCCCTATAAAAGTATACAATTCATCTTTTATCACATATTTTTATTATACCTTTTCTATGTTTAGATACACAAATACTGTTACATTAAAATTGCCTACAGTATTCATTACAGTACATGCTCTTCAGGTTTGTATTCTAGGACCAAAAGACAATTCAATATAGCCTAAGTGTGTAGCAGACTATTCCACCTAAGTCTGTGTAAGAACACTCTATGGCCGGGCATGGTGACTCATGCCTATAATCCCAGCACTTTGGGAGGCCGAGGTGGGCAGATCACGAGGTCAAGAGATCAAGACCATCCTGGCCAACATTGGTGAAACCCTGTCTCTACTAAAAATACAAAAATTAGCCAGGCATGGTGGCACACACCTGTGGTCCCAGCTACTCAGGAGGCTGAGGCAGAAGAATCGCTTGAACCCAGGAGGCAGAGGTTGCAGTGAGCTGAGATTGCGCCACTGCACTCCAGCCTGGCGACAGAGCAAGACTCCGTCTCAAAAAAAAGAACATTCTATGATGTCCTTGCAACAATGAAATCGCCTAGCAATACATTTCTCAGAACATATTCCTGTTGCTAAGCTCACACACAGCTGTATAAGGAAATACAAAAACAAGATGTGTGCCCTAATCCAAGGAATGACCAGGCTAAGTAAAATAAATGAGCACTGTAAAACAATGCAAGAGAAAAAAGCATGTTTAATTCTCCTCCTAAGAACTCTATTTCCTGTTTGGGATTTCTTACATGGATCTATGAAGCAAACAAAGATTATGATGCTTTTTCACCTTTATCATAAAACAATAAAAACTTACAGAAAATTTTGATACATATTCCCCACTTTTTTCAATATGCATATGTTGCTTTTCATATATTTTGGATAATACTGCATCAACAATGTTTATTAGGTTTCTTCATTTCTAGTATCTCTCATGTTATGAACTTTTTAAACATTAATACTAATATTCTATCAAGTGGACATGCCACTATCTTTTACTGTTACAATTTTCAGCTTTCTATAAATTTCTCATCTTTCTGCAAAAAGCTTTTCCTATCATTCTGATTAATTTGGGATACTGTTCACGTAAGTGGTCAAAAATTATTTTTCAAAGCTAGTTGACCTTACTCCACTTAAAAGAAATAAACTGTACAATCTTCATTAGTCAATCTCTTAACAAATTCGAAGTCTTTGTTGTTGGAAATATGTCTACTATGACCCAATTATGAAAAGGACTTATGGGAAAGTTTAAAGAAACTGTGTCCCGTAAGAAAAGAACAACTTAATTGTGAAATATAACAATTAGAGGCATTGTGTTACAGATATGGGTAATTTTTATCACATAATTTAGGTAACATGTAAAGACTTTCAAAAGTTAAAACTGTGAAGCTGTATCATCATCAAGAGATATCCAAAACAGATTTATTTTCTCATGACATTAAAAAGTAACTGCTAACTCTCTTCATTAAATGTGTGATTACAAAAACACCTGACTCCTTTTCTCAATCAAGCTGCAGCCAAAATACTTGAATTTAAGAAATAAGAAGTATATACTCCAAATGTAATAGAGCCAAATCTATTTTCAGGCTTACCTTTAAAAACAATGACCAAGTTCTAGATCAATACAAAAACCTACCTTGGACTAACTGCATCCCGAGGAGAACGGAGCCACTCTTGTAGTTTATCGCTAGAAGCAACTCCCACTTTTACCAGGTATGAATACGGTTCCACGCGGAAGGCCCAGAAGTGTTTTCCTTTTGTAATGCCAGTGTCTCCAATGATGTAGTCTAAGCTTGTGTAATAACCCACTTGGATGCGTTCTGCAGCAAGCAGAAGATTATATCCAGCTCTACTCTCTACACGGTCTCTCTTCAAGTTCAGCAGGAGGTGTTCATTATTATAGCCACATTTTTCATCAAAGAGGAAGCTGAAAACTAAATAGAGCTTAAAATTAGTATCAGTCTAAAAATGATCATTGTTGTAACTTGTTAAATCTGATAGGTTTTCTTACAGAAATTACTGAAAAGAGGCAGGAAGAGGGAAGGTGGTGTCACACTACCCCAGACAACTATAACAAACCAAAACCCAACTTGGCAATATATCTTACCCAGTATATTTTCTATACCTAAAAATCTTCAGAAATCTCAAAAAGCAGATGAAAACATTTTAAATATATGTGAAATTTATAAATATAGCTCTTTGGAATAGAAATAGCAAATCTATCATAGGTATTTCACACTATTGAATTTGTTCTTTTTTCTTTATTAAAGATAATAAAGACTTGTATATTTTCATAAATATCTCTATATTTTCTTATTGTAAGTTTTGTTAATTTGGGATATTTTAGGTTTAGATATAAAGCTTTTTCTTTTTCAACCAACATGGCAGACATAAGAAACATGGGACAGTGTATTAAAACAAAACAAAAACACAGCTTTGGGGTTGAGAGAGACCTGGGTTTGAATCCCTCCCTGCTCATGCATTTAACTAGAGTTTGATTCAAATATTTAATTTCTTCATCTACAGAATGAAGATAACACCACTCCCATAAGTCTATACAACTCAAATATATTAAGCATGAAATTGGCTGCTGGCCAATGGTGAAACAACCCAAAAGTCTATCCAAAGATGAAAATGTAAATACATACAATGGAAAATTATTCAGTCTTAAAAAGGAAAGACATTCAGATGCTACAGCATGGATAAATCTTGAAATAAGCCAGAGGTAAAAGGACAGATATTGCACTATTCCAGTTATATAAGATACCTAGAATAGGCACATTGATAGAGACAGAAATTGGAATCAAGGTTACCAGTCTCTGGGGAGAGGCAGAATGGAGTTAACTGTTTAATGGGTACAGAGCTTCAGTTTAGAATAATGAAAGTCAAGGAGATACAAGTGGTGATAATTGAACAATACTGTAAATGTACTTAATGCCAATGAGCTGTATACTTAAAAACTGTTTGTTAAGATGATAAATTTTATCTTTACTTCACAATTTTATAAATGACCTCCAGGCATGGTAGTGTACACCTTTAGCCCTAGCTACATGGAAGGCAGGAGTTTGAGGCTGGCCTAGGCAACACAGTGAGAGCCACCTCTCTCCCTCTCCCTCTCTCTCCCACACACACACTATATATTTTATATATGCATGGTTTTTTTTCTTTCTTTTTTTTTTTTTAACAGGCTGTTAGCAGCTGGTCATGGTGGCTTACGCCTATAATTTCAGCACTTTGGGAGGCTGAGGTGAGCACATCACTTGAGGTCAGGAGTTTGAGACCAGCCTGGTCAACACGGTGAAAACTGGCTCTACTAAAAATACAAAAATTAGCCAGGCATGCTGGCTCACATACGTAATCCCAGCTACTACTCAGGAGGCTAAGGTAGGATAATTGCTTGAACCCAGGAGACAGAGGTTGCAGTGAGCTGAGATGATGCCACTGCACTCCAGCCTGGGTGACAGAGCCAGACTCCACTTCCAAAAAGAGACTGCTAGCAAACTACAGCCATTAACCACATGTGAGCCGACTATTCTTCCATTAATGCCTATTTTCCGGGCATGACTATTTGTACTTCCTCTCAATCTCAAGTCTCCCAGTTTGCACAATAAATTTAAAAGGTCACTCTAGTCATGTATCTTCTCTCAGAAAAAGAAGACAACCCTTCGCTCTTCCTCTCCTCCTTCCCCCTTCCGCTACGTGATTGAAAACAGCATTCTGTCCAGGTTTGTTTTTCCTCCACTTTCAGTCAAAAAGACTAGAAAAGGAAACGGAAATAGCATAAACCATAAAATATTTACTTAATACTTGCAAATTTATACCAAAACTCTATTGGATTTTATTAAAATTCAAGAAATACAATTTTAGCCAACTTTGTATGTCTGTATTCCAATTTTTTTAAAGCCACAATGGGCATGAAAAACAAATTGTGCTTTTCTATTTTGAACAGAAAAGGAAAAGTCAGAGTGCAGAAAATATGGGTATATAAGCCACTAAAAAGAGGCAGGGAGCAGTGGATCTAAAATACAATTAAAAGTATGTCTAAGGCAGAAACTGAAAGGGGAAAACATTTTCCTCCTAACCAGGCTGAGCACAACTTTGCTTCTAAATATCCCTTGTTCATGGACACATCACAGTGAGCATCAGCAAAACTTTTAAGTCCTTCTCACCCTATAAAAATCTTTCGGTGTTCTATATGTAGTATCAGTGGATTTTTTACTTGGAAAGGGAGGGAACGGTGACTGGGCATGAGGAGCTTTTAGCACAGGAGGAAAAGCTATTCATGTAGTTCTAATAAATGGCTTCCATTCCTGTTAGCTGGGAATTGCCAAGTTAAATTTTAAAAAATCCAGACAAATTAGAATTAGATTAAATCAAAATTATATTTTAGGATATTATATCAATAATTTTTTAAAAAAACACTTACCTAGATCCTGTGTTTTACAGATTTCCATAAACTAACCAAAACTATAGAATTATGTACTTAAAACTTTTAAGGTAGCGTTTATGCTATTTTAATCCCAACTTAACAGTGCTGCTCACCCAAATTTCTTCCATGTTTTTCTCTATCTGACATCAGTTAAAACCTAATCCTGTTCTCAGCCCAGAAGGTAAAAATTCAAGTATTCAGTTAATTTCCAAATCCCAGCTGGAATAGAAGCTACTTCTCCGGAGTCTTAAAAAGAAGAGCTGGTTTCAATGCAGGTCTACATGGAGATATTGTCTAGTCTACTTTATCAAGGTCTCTTGCGACTCTATGATTTTTTTATTCCTAATATTCACCATACCTGGAGCTGGAGGAGTATGAAGAATTAATTCTCTGCTGCAAGGACTGCAGATTGAACCCTTGTAAGCTCTTACTCTGAAAGCATAGGTACTACTGTTTTCCAGGTCTTGAATTATTTTACTTGTTCCACACACTTCAACCTCATTCCATGACAACATTTCATCATCTCTGTTGATCTTCCGATATTCAAGAACATAGCTATCAGCTTTATCCTTTTCTGGATGGTGCCAATTTATTAACGCATTATTATAAACTTTGCTCTGTTCCTCATTGATCTCTGGCACATCTATGCCTGAAAGAATTATGAAATAGAAAACAATGTTAAAATATTGATATTTTAAAACCTGCTTTTCCTCCATAAAAATGATATATAAGCAATATTTAATGATTTCTATACTGTCCAATAATTTTCTAAATTTATAATACACAAAACTTAAATGTATTAAATATTTTCATATATTTTATATATAAAAGGTATATTTATATTTGTAAGTGAAAGAAGAATGAAAAAGACAAAAACTAAAAAAAAAAAAAAAAAAAAAAAAAAACAACAAAAAAAAAAACAACTAAAAAAAAAGCAAAAAAAAAAACAAAAAAAAAAGAAAGAAAAAGACAAAAACTGACTCAAAACCCAGAAGTAAATTTTTTTTAGCCACATGCCTTCTACCTACTGAACAACAACCCAGGACTTGACATTTTTTATCTATGTCCTCCCATAAGCAAACTATTATTTTATTTTTTTTATTTTACTTTAAGTTCTGGGGTATACGTGCAGATCTTGCAGGTTTGTTACATAGATATACAAGTCATGGTGGTTTGCTGCCTCCATCCCCCCATCACCTACATTAGGTATTTCTCCTAATGTTATCCCTCCTCAACCTCACCACCCCTGCTATCCCTCCCCTAGCCCCCTCTACCCACCAACAGACCCCAGTGTGTGATGTTCCCCTCCCCATGTCCATGTGATCTCATTGTTCAACACCCACTCATGAGTGAGATCATATAGTGTTTGGTTGTCCTTGTGTCAGTGTGCTGAGAATGATTTCCATCTTCATCCATGTCCTTGCAAAGGACATGAACTCATCTTTTTTTATGACTGCATGGTATTTCATGGTGTATATGTGCCATACTTTCTTCATCCAGTCTATCATTGATGGCCATCTGGGTTGGTTCCAAGTCTTTGCTATTATAAGCAGTGCCACAATGAACACACATGTGCATGTGTCTTTATAACAGAACAGTTTATAATCCTTTGGGTATATGCCCAGTAATGTTGCTGGGTCAAATGGAATTTCTATTTCTAGATTCTTGAGGAATCACCACACTGTCTTCCGCAATGGTTGAACTAATTTACACTCCCACCAACAGTGTAAAGTGTTCCTATTTCTCCACATTCTCTCCAGCATCTACTGTCTCCAGATTTTTAAATGATCTGCCATTCTAACTGGCATGAGATGGTATCTCAATGTGGTTTTGATTTGCATTCCTCTAATGAACAGTGATGGTGAGCTTTTTTTCATGTTTATTGACCACATAAATGTCTTCTTTTGAAAAGTCTCTGTTCATATCCTTCGCCCACTTTTTGGTCGGGTTGTTTTCTTCTTGTATATATATATATTTTTTTGCTGGTTCACTCTAATGATTATTTCTTTTGCTGTGCAGAAGCTCTTACAAACTATTATTTTAATATTTTAAAATCTAAGTCTGGTAAGAATACCAAACTCTCAATGAATATATTTTTTTTTGAGAGAGAGAGTCTCTCTTTGCTGCCCACTGGAGTGCAGTGGAATGATCTCGGCTCACAGCAACCTCTGCCTCCCAGGTTCAAGTGATTCTCCTGCCTCAGCCTCCCAAGTAGCTGGGATGACAGGCAGGTGCCACCACGCCTGGCTAATTTTTTTGTATTTTTAGTAGAGATGGGGTTTCACCATGTTAGCCAGGATGGTCTCCATCTCCTGATCTTGTGATCCGCCTGCCTTGACCTCCCAAAGTGCTGGGCCGCTCAATCAATATTATATCACTTCTTTCCATATTCATATTTTATTCTGTAGAGTTGCAAAGCAAATTAATTTTTCTGAATATGACACATATTTTTGTAAGAAAATCAGAAACTTAAAAACATATATTAAAAGATACTAAAAGATATTAAAAGTAACTCAAAAGTTATTACTATAACCTTTTTGTATAGATCCTGCCAGTGTTTTCCCCCCAATGGTACATTACTACATGGATATATCAACATTTAACTGTTTATTTTTGGAAACGGGTTTCTGGTTTTTCACTAAAAGTAAAACGATTAAAAGCTAAATGTTTGTGCATATGCATAGTCCTTTCTATAGAGCAACTCCCAAGCTTAACTGCTGGAATCATATGGTAAGAACAACAAGCTATAAAAGCTACACACACATATTTATGTCAAATCACAGAGAAGGACAAGAAATAAGAAGCAGAAGTCTTCTCCTCTCTTTATTCCCCAAGGTGTAAGCATGTCTGTGTATGCTGCATTTATACAACTGAATGTTACACAGCCATAAGGAGATCTGGAAAGTTATCCCAAATAATTTTAAAATTTTTTAAAAAAAGTTAGAAAATAACACAAATAGTATGCCCCCCTACCCCATACCCTTTCTCTGTCTTTTTTTTGAAACATAGCTTACTAAAAAGAATAGTAAGTAGCAAAAAAGTGAGGGGAAGGCCGGGCGCGGTGGCTCATGCCTGTAATCCCAGCACTTTGGGAGGCCGAGGCGGGTGGATAACGAGGTCAAGAGATCGAGACCATCCTGGTCAACAAGGTGAAACCCCTTCTCTACTAAAAATACAAAAAGTTAGCTGGGCATGGTGGTGCATGCCTGTAATCCCAGCTACTCAGGAGGCTGAGGCAGGAGAATTGCCTGAACCCAGGAGGTGGAGGTTGCGGTGAGCCGAGATCGCGCCATTGCACTCCAGCCTGGGTTACAAGAGCTAAACTCCGTCTCAAAAAAAAAAAAAAAAAAAAAAGTGAGGGGAAGATCCATCAGCCAGAAGCTAGGTGACAACTATCCCATTCTCATCCATCCATTTTAGTGAATCCTTGCCATACACTGGTATAACCCAGGATTACCCACCCTCAACCTCACCTTTCCAGCAACCATTTTGGGATTCACAGGGAGGAAAGACCTAGGACTCTCAAGTAAGCTTATACACACACACACACACACACACACACACACACACACACACATATATAAAAGCTTACTTTTATATATATATACACACATATTATACTATGTATATATAGTATAATATGTATATAAACTATTCAAATATACGTTTTGGAAATAGAGTATAGTGTATGAAATATAATCAGCATTTTAAGTGATGACAAATAAATATTTGAAAAGATAAGATAGTCATAATAAGTATCAGATTCAGGTATAGATTTGAAAAGGAGGTCACAGTAATCCTTCAGAGTTTTAAACTTTTAACAAGACAAATTTCCTTTTATTAATGTACAGATCTACAAATCTGTACCTATAAAGTAAGTATACTATAATTACTTTGTAAGTATTGTGATTGTTCACCATCACTAGAAGAGAAACCTTAGGGAGAGGAATTAGGTATGAAAAAGAATAAAAAAGGACAAGGAAGACCTCCCTGCTAGGGGGTAGCAAAATACAAACACAAGCAAGCGGTATGGACTGCAATACATCCTCCCCCAGTCCCCCACACCCCACCTCTCACCCCTAGAAATTCACAAGTTGAAGTCCTAACTCCCAGTACACACCTCAGAATGTGACCGTGCTTCAAAATAGGTCTTTAAAGAGAAAATTAAATTAAAATCAAGTCATTAGAGTGGGCCCTACTCTAATATAACTGGTGTCCTTATAAAAAAAGAAGAGATTAGATCACACACACACACAAAGGGTGGACCATGTGAAGACACAGGGAGAAGACAGCCATTTATCAACCAAGAAGAGAGGCTTCAGAAGAAACCAACCGTGCCATCACCTTGATCCCTGACTTCTAGTCTCCAGAACTATAAGAAAATGAATTTGTTTAGGCCACTCAGTCTATGGTACTTTGTTACTGCAGCCCAAGCAAACTAATATAGCAATGTAAACAGCCTGCAGATTCTATGTGTAGGTTTCTGTCTGAGAAACTCACATACACATGCCCAACAAAATTCTGACAAGGATGTGCGATACAGCGTTGCTTATAAAAGAAAAAAAAGAAAAAGAAAAAAGTCTCTTAGTAGGAAAATGATTTATTTAATTATTAAATACTGCAAACAGCTAAAATATAGCTTTAAACCAAAATTTCCTATATTAACAAATATTTGTTAATCTAAAAAGAAAATTTACAAAAAGGATACACACAGTATAATGCTATTTATACAATGTTTAAACATTGTTTTATGGAACATAGTTTTTATGCATAAAAGCATAGTTATAAAAACATAAATAGGGTATGATCTCAGGATGCTACGGTGGTCCTGGGCAAGTGAGATGCCGCTTTATAATGTCAAACTTAGGAGAACTTGTGTTTTCTTCAACACAATACAAATTCAGACAAAAAGAATGAGGTTTTTGCCTTCATTAAGACTTACCACTAGAGAAAAAAGACAATTCTCCAAGAAGTTCTGTTTGTTTCGAAGTATTAACAACATAGTCTTCAAAAGAAGTCTGAGCTGCAGGTCTAAAGCTCTTCAAAGATTCTGTGGCTTTCTGTATTCTGAGGACAGATATTTTTGCATAAAAATCATTATTTAAGATGGCAAATCAGACTAAATATCTGCAGTAACATGATTAACAAGAGAAAACTCACACTTCAATCAAAATTCAAGTTAAGAATGAAGCAAGACGTACCTCACATTAACACAGTATTAGGAACCACTCAGAGCTAACGTGAGACTACACAGCAGCATTTAATGACATTACTCAAGAGTTTCTAAAGCTAGAAGTAAAAAAGAATACCTGAGGTGGAGCTGCTTTGCTGTCTGCACAAAGCAAGACTGATCCGTCTCCTTTAGCACCTCTTGAGCGTATCCCACAAGTCCATTGTTCTCTAGAAGTCCCCGGTACTCTTCCATTTGAGTCTGAAATTTGTCTAAGTCTTAGTTTCTTAGATGAGTCAATTGCTTTCAAAACAGATGATTTCCTCTCTTCCAGAATTTCAAAGAGCTTTTCAAAATGTGTAATTGCTTCTTCTTTAGCCCTCTCTCCATTACACTATGAAAAACCAATTTATCCATTACACTAAGATAAAACAAAGCATCCACTAAATCCAAATAACTTTCCACAAAGTTCTACGTAATTACATTTCCTCTATGTGATGACAAAATTATCAAAATTCAATAAAACCAACCTAGATAGTATAAAGAAAAAAAGTATTATCTGACTCTGAAATTTTCAGAACAATATTTTGGCATCAAATATACTTAGCAAAGAACAATTGACAACTTTTATTCAGATTAACTTTGTAATTTTATAATATTGTACTTCTTTAAGCTTTTCATCTCCGAAAGTCTGGCAATAGACAATTTAGTCAATTAGATAACAATCTTTCAGTGGTACATAAAAAAAATCTGAAGCAGGAATGAACTGATTTAACCAAAAACAGAAAAACACAATTCCAGAGTTTTGAATTCATTTCAAATTCAGAAATGCTTAACCCTTTCAGCGCTACTCCAACTTTTAAATAAGTTTTAGGCCACAAAACTAAAATAATTACATTCTTTACTAAGATATAAAAATATAAGTATCTTCACATTAATTTAATAATTAAATCCTGACGTAGCTGTGTGACCATATACTAATCATTTCACTTCTTCTTCTGTTTTTCTTTTCTGAAATTAGGGGATAAAAAAACTGAAGAACTCTTCCAGTCCGTGAAGAGCATGGTTTTAAAGGCAGGAGTTTCCCCGCTCCACCCGGGAACCAGAGGGGTTTCAAATGTAAAGTCCTTTGTCTGGGTTTCCCACACCTGGGTTAGGTAGCCAACAGAAAAAGTCTTCAAGAACATTCTTAAAAGCTGACAATATATGGCAGAAGTGTACTATGCATTTTCTAATAGCTTCTAGCCAACACGTATAACAAAAGGAAATTTTTTCCAGATCTTTTCCTATTTCCTAACCCCAACAGCCACATATTTTTAAAAGGAAAGGAGCAAAAGATAGTGACATTTTGATAGTATTTCACTGACACAACATTAAACTCAGAAATATCATTATATATAGATTTTTTTCCAGCTAAGTATAATTACAGATAAAAAAGACAGCATCACCATCATCACTGAGTAAAAGTCAAGGATGGAGGCAAGTTATGTAGCGTAAATAAAGATTCTAATAAGCCTACAGATACAGCTTAGGCAAATGATACAAAACAACTCAATAATGTCCCCAGGATCCCAAGGAATCAGTGTATACATGAATACTTAATATATAAGTTCATCAACTTCGAACCTATTGATGACAAACCCCAAAACAGACTCTGGGTCTTTACGTCAGAAGTGAAGAGCAGCAGGACTGAGAGGACCAACAAGCAAGGCTATTAATAAAATGACCAAAGATGCAACACTTGAAGCAACCTATTAAGGTGATAATCTGCTTATGATGAGGGATTATGCCAAACTAAGAGTCTACCATTTAATCTGACAAAAATACGAAAAAGAAAACGCCACTTTAAACTGAATGGAAAAATGAGTGACTTAGGGTGGTGAATGCAATCAGCAACGATCAGGAAAATAAATTAAAAACAAAAGCAGTGCTGGTAATGGTGGTAATTCGCATGCTTTCTCGATGATTTCACCCTATATTGGAAAAAACATTTCTTCAAACCACAGCGTCATACTAGCTGGGATGCTTTATGTTTAATTACTAAAAAGGATCAGGAGTAATGGCTCAACTTTGTTTCAAACAGAGAAGCAAAACAGGTGTACAACAAAGTCAATGAAGACTATTTGGACTTTTAAAATAACCCAATCGAATCCTCTTATTATATTTTTTAAATGCTCCTCCTTTTCCAATTTTTTATTAAAGCATAATACACAAATGGAAAAATATACATGTAAGTATAAAGACTAATGAATCTTTATAAACGCACTCAATGTAACCAGCATCCAACAGAGAAGCCAGATTAGATAAAAGAATATTACCAGTATCCCAGAAGCTTCCATATAAGCTTTCCAGATACTAATCTACCCCTCCTCATCATCTTTTTGGTACTTTCTATAAATGTAATCAGATAATATGTATTCCTTTGTATCTGGCACCTTCCTTTCAACATTACTGCAAGATTAATCTACACTGTGATGTGCAGCTGCAGATCGTTTTTATTGCTATTTATATTCTACTGTTAATGGGCATTTATGTAGATCTTACTTTGTGACAATAACAAACAAGGCAGCCACAAACATTCTAATACACATCTTTTGAGGAACATATAAGATATACACTCACGAATACCTGAAATTTAAAACAAACCTGGTCCAAGTCACATATGGTGCATTTTCCAAAAGTGATCTATTAATTTTTTTAAACTTAATAAAAATAAGTAAAACCTTTCATTTCCCTTACATTACTATTACATACTTTTGAGATCTTGTTAATTGCCACACAAAGAGTTCATCATTTTTCCGTGTTCCAATATGACTAGCTGTATCACAGAAGTGATCGCACAACATTATAATTCATTTTTTACATTTGTTTCCTTAGCCCCAGAAAAGCAGGGGTGAAATCTAATACAACTTTGTATTCCCAGCACATATATTACTCTCAGGATTTTGTGAACAAATGAATGAATGTCTAGATAAAATAACAATAACTTAAAATATGCAAGTTAATCACTTACCTCTGTTTCTTTCATTAACAAATTTAGTTCAGAAATCTGACTCTTCACCTGGCTTTCCTTACCAATAAGGTAATCAATATCCTTTGAAAGCTTTTCCTGTTGAAACATATTCATAATACAAATGGACAAAACGGAAGTTTAACAAAGACCTTGCAGAATTTTTTTTTTAATTACACAGGACTCATCCTCTTCTACGGCCTCTGATAAACAGATAATAAAATCAACTATGGCCATTATCATTATTAACCCAGAGTAAACAGTTAATGGCCTTAGGAACAGAGGGCCAAAGGATGTATGAAAGATGACAATCAGGTTGGAAAAGAGAACAAGGGTAATAATGCTTAAATTAGTCAAAACTTCTGAATATAAAAATACTACATTTTTATTGTTTCATTATCATTCCTAGAGCTCCTACTACTAAGGCTTCTAAGTAAACTGAAGAGTAGCAATTCAAATAGTTTTGTCTTCAGATTTTATAATTCTCTTGCCAACACCCACGTGCATACACACACACCCCCCTATACACTATAGGAATAGCAACAAAAACCCTTCGAAAATAATACTCACAGTCCATCACAGCTTATTAGTTACACAATAAGGAAAATACAGTTTTACAAAAATAGGCAATTTCCAGAGCTCACTAAATAATCTGTCTGTAAGGCAGACATTCTGAAATAAGTATAGTTTCTTTCCCATAGAAATACCATCATAGGTTTTGGTAAGATCCCTGGTCTTGCCCAGAAAACCTACTCTGAAATATGCAAAAAATAAAACACAAAAGCCCTTAAACACCATAGGGTAAAAAAATTATAACAGAAAAATGTATGTGGAGTCTAAATAAGAACATCCAGAAAACGTCTCTCAAGCTGTAGCCCTTACAGGCCAATCTGGGCATTTCAGGCTCAGTTATCACTGGTGGTCTAGAAGAGGGCACTATTAAACACTGAACACTATTCTACAGGCTGAGAGGTACTTCTCAGCACCAAGTTGAAAGTAAAATGACAATTCTAATACCATCCCTGTCAGGCCCATGCAGAGACCAGAAGTACTAGGTGCAAGTGGTGGTACTCTTTTTTTAACTACACTAGCAATGAGATAAATTTGGCCATTTAAATTAAAGTAAGGCTTAGTTCTATGATAGCAACTTAAATTATAACAAGATAGAAAAATATAAGTTAATTGGGTCAAAGAGGTAAGGACCAGAGAAGAATAGATGACAGAATTCAGAAGCATGATCTAAAAGCACCACACTCTCTGAGTTTTAATGCTCAAAGTATCTGGCCAACTATACTTTTATCTGAGAATAGCTTTTATCTGAGACAGCTCCAGTCATAATAGTTCCCTCAAATCTAGCCAGTTTTTTTTTTTTTTAAAGACTAGATCAGTTTGAACCAAGTAGCAGGATGCCCATTTATTCACAGGTCTCCAAAAAGTATATGCACCAAACACTGAAAACAAGCACTGAAAATTAAAATGTAAAAAGACAAGGCTACCTCTAACTCCTTTAGATAAATCAGGACCCCAGTTCTCTAGAAACTAATCAGAGGCTAATTTCTCAGGGACTCCAAAATTTCTCAGAACTTTTTCTCTGGATCGGTGGTTCTCAAACACTGCGTATATCCGAGTCTCCTGAGGGCTAACGAAAAGCCCTGAAGAGATGCAACTTAGTCCAGTGAGGCCACAGTTTGTAAGGCATGTACCTAAGAAGAGACTGTTGTAAAGAGAAAGAACTCCAAAGAGGCACAAACCGGTGTCCCTTACATATTCAGCAGTTGTCATCAACTCTTGTGTGTAAGGAAACTGCCCAAGACCAGGCAAAGAATCACCCTAAAGCATCAGAGGAAACAAACCCAGGAGCTGACACAAGGCTGGGAAGAGTGCCTGCTCCCCACCAGCCAGTCCAAAAGAAAAAAATCACTCAAAATTCACAGGACACTGAGAAGAGTAATAAAAGGCTTTTACTTCAATACTTAGGTAAAATTAGCCCTTAGTAACTAAATGTTGTTCTGTCTTGCCTCACAAAGTAAGACCCCAAAGTTTCCAAGTAACTTAATCACATATTCAAAGAAAATAGCATTTGTAGGAATACAAAAGTGTCCAATACCTGGCAGCGAATCAAAAACTACCAGGCATGCAAATGTAGCAGAGAAATATAAACCCTAATGAGAAAAATTATCAATCAAAACTGACCTACTAGTGAAACATGAGAAAATTAGTAGGCAAGAACAATTAAACAATTATATGTATTCCATATGTGCAGAGAAGATAGAGCACAACACAAATATAAAATGCACAACATGAAATAGTTTGCATATGTGCAATTATATAGAGGCAAAAAATGCGTACACATACTGTTAAAGAGAGGAAGGAAAATGGGTAGTAGGTACATAGATGATTTCTTTTAAAAATATTGTTTAAAGGGAAAAAGAATAAAACAAAAAAACAGTATCATACCATTGCCTGCTTTGCTGCTGATTATCAAATTTGAAAGTTTTAAACATTATCAATAAAACTAACAGAAAGGAAGTATTTCTAAGGGTCTACCAGAATGAACAAAATACTAACTCTAAGAGCCAAATGTCTTAAAAAGCCACAACCCTTCAAAGTATGTCTTTCCTATGTACACATCCATTATAATAGACATCGGGCTTATTTAGGGATCACGACGAAGTATCCTTCATCCTTTTCCCTTCCCTCAGAATTCAGAGCTAATACAACATAGGTATCAATATATGCCAGGTCTTATCAGTACTACAAAGAACTCCTGATCAGGAATACTAACCACCTAATAGTAGTAGATCATTAAGTAACACTTTAACTCATTTTAGTAGAAAAAAGACCACATAACACACCATGATTTTGTAAATGAAAAAGTTAAAGGCATAATGTAAAGTTACAAAGAATTGAAATTATGTTCCAAAAATAAGTCCTACCTTTAAGGTTTTGTAGGCACTGCTCATAGTGGTTACACGGTGGTTGGAATGATTACCACCCAACTTACAGAGATGGCAAACTGGCCTCCTACATAATTCACAGTACATGTTTATTCTCTCTGTTTCATGTTCTGGGCACATTAAAATCTATTGAGTAAAGAGTAAAAGTGTGATTAAGGATCTAGGTTTCAAGTAATCTGACAAACTACCAATATACAAAGATCTGCTTTATAAAACCACTAAATAAAGCCATTTAAGTGAATATGAATGTAAAAAGAAATAAAAATGCTTGATATATCACATGAAAATTCTCTATCAGAATTACTATCTCTCAATTTGAGGGTTCAAATGATTAATATGTACATGTTGTCTAGGGGCATACTCCATATCTCGTCATAATATGTAGATGTTATTTCTCCAAAAGTTTTGGATAAGAAAGTGAGCATTTCATTCCTATCAGATTCAAGTGGAATCAACACTTAACCAAGTTAGAAAAGCCATCTGATCACACTGACAGGTGTGTGCCACCATGCCTGGATAACTTTTTTTGTATTTTTAGTAAAGGCAATTCTTAACGATCATAGTCGCTATTCTTAATGAAGTACCGTAACAATTTATGAGACTCATGGCCTTAGTAACAGAAATCCATTACTAAGAGTCTCAGAAAACTTCATAAGCTTCTAGATGTGTTTGCTTTTACAAATTACAAATGCACTGACCAAATTTGGAACTCTTTTTCTGATTTGTCTACCTTTTTATTTACTCTGTAAACTATCATAGTAGAGGATTAAAAGCTATCTGATGAATAACATAAAATTTTATGTAAAATAACTGTTTTCATTTGATAGAAAGGGAAGATTCCTTTAAGTCAGTATGTTAATAAAATCCAAAAGTTGTTAAAGATTCTAAAAGATTAGATTTTAAGCAACTGTAACTGGTCTAATGATTTACAGACATTTATTTATTTATTTGAGTCTTGCTCTATCACCCAGGCTGGGGTGCAATGGCACAATCTTGGCTCACTGCAACCTCTGCTCACTGCAACCTCCACCTCCCGGTTCAAGCAATTCTCCTGCCTCAGCCTCCTGAGTAGCTGGGATTACAGGCATGTGCTAACATGCCCAGCTAATTTTGTAATTTACAGACAATGAAAATGAACAAACAAAAAGTACAACATGGAAAGTCCTAATACCAATATGTAGGTTCAGGAGAAAAACAATTGGAAAATATTTCAAGTTTATCAACATGTCCAAGTTTTTACATCCCCAAAGCCACTACATTTGAAATAAAATACAAAGTTTGTCTATCTGCAAGAAAGGATCAAAAGAACTCAACTTTACAGGTAAATAGTCTAGACCAATAGAGACACCATTTTGGATACCAATTTAGAATTTTACTATATTGAGTAGCATTAACTACTTAAAAAATAAAATTTTTCTCAGTATAACCTATTCATATTTCTTCGGTCTTCTCTCATCTATCTTTTATTATATTTGTAAACAGAAACTGTAAGACTATATTCACAATTTCCTTATACCTATAATTCACAAAAACCCAAGCCTAATAAAATTCATTTAATCATCAAAGGTTATTTCATGGTAGAACAATTATAATCAATTTAATTAATGATTTAAAAGAAACATTAAAACAGGTTGAAGTCATAATTTTTTGTTTTTTTTTTGAGACAGTCTTGCTCTGTTGGCCAGGCTGGAATGCAGTGATGTGATTTCAGCTCACTGCAACCTCCATCTCCTGGGCTCAAGCAATTCTCCTGCCTCAGCCTCTCCCGAGTAGCTGAGCTTACAGGTGTGTGCCACCACACCCGGATAACTTTTTTTTGTATTTTTAGTAAAGATGGGTTTTCACCATGTTGGCCAGGCTGGTCTCCCGACCTCAGGTAATCCACCCAATCTCAGCCTCCCAAAGTGCTGGGTTTATAGGCATGAGCCACTGTACCCAGTGAAGTCACAGATTTTTAAAAATTGATGGCCTTGAGCCTTTAAAATGAGGAACATAATTGAGAATTAAAAGCTATCTGATAAATCTACTGCCAGACTTACACAGTTTGGGAAAAGTCATTCAAAATGTGACAGCATAGATTGTCTTTGCCTTAATCTACCAATCCTTCACTATTTAATATAAGAAATAGTAACAATTTCAAAAAACCTTTTGAGGTTTTTTTCTCCAATTATTTTTACTACAAATTAAAGGTTTTATGCTTAGGAATACCAATTGATTTTCATACACAAGTTACTAAGTTATAAGGACTAAGAACTTTGAAAAACTCAATGATAGGTTTTAAAAATCTATGTAATCAGAAAGAAGTGAAGATATCAAAAGATCAGTCTTCTTTCCAGGCACACAGCAGGGCGAACAATACATAAACTTCTTTTGGGCAATATGAAAGAAATTACTCAGAATGTTTAAGAAATGCAAATTCTACTTCAGATAATATATAACCATTATATCACAAGCTACAAAATATTAGGCTCTAATCACCATTATTCATTGTACAATTTTAGCTAACTAAAAACAGAAAAATATGTTTCGCAGTCAAACCTTTTAAGCAATTATGGATTTATCACACTAAAGCACAAAAAACCTTTTTAACTTTAACCATTTCAATCTTAAAGAGTATATCTGGGATAACTTTCTTTAATCAGAGCTAACACTATGAACATTCATTGTATTATATCACACTGGATAGTAACAGAAATAAATCACAATATTGCCCTCTATTTGTGAAGAGTTTTAGCCTCACAGTAAGTAACTCCAGCAACTAGGCCTTAAGTTCTTATACCTGCTTTTAAAGTTATTTCCTTTCTGTCAAGTTCTAGACTCAATAATTTATTTCATAACATTAAGTTATATAAGTTTCATAACATTAAGTTAAAGTAACATTCTAACTTAATAAAAACTTCACTTACCTTGGGCCTAAAGTTAGTAGTTGGGCCAACATACTCATGCTGAGCTTTTACAGTACCCCAAGGATGATAAATTTTGAAGCATTCATTACAGTAACTTGCACTACAGTCCATGCAGCTTTTTGTAGATTCTTGAGGCGGTGGTTTACAAAGGTCACACATAATAGCTGTGGCTGCCCTAGCTGCCTGCCGGTATCTTTCAACAATAGTTTCCAAAGTGAAGTTTCGAAACAAACCATTGATTCCTCGTTCTCCAAGATCCACATCATGCTCACAGCCAGGGCAAGGGAAAATGGTTGTCTTTGGGGTCAATGAATTGCGCTTCCAGCCTGTGTAATTAATATGTCTTTGTTTAGTTATAGCAGTAGGAAAATGATTAGAATGAAGAAAAGAGGAGTCAGGTCTTAAAGACATAACTACAAATACATCACAAAAACAGTATCCAAAACTACAAATACATCACAAAAACAGTATCCAAAGTGGCTCCAAGTGAATAAATTTGAATTGTGAAAATGTTTTTAAAATTTTTCCTTAGTATACAAAAGACAAGCCCAAGTTACCAAATAGTTATCAAATCAAAAAGAAAAATATTCTATAGTAAGTCCACATAAAACCCACACTAAATCAAACATAGATAGGTAAAACACATAATACAATACTACATGTGGTCAAGATCTTTTAAAATTATATAATGAACATTTATAGCTACCTTTATATACCATATCCAAAGGCATTTAAACAAACACAGTAATTGCTGACTGACAGGAAGTGAGTCAATACATGAAAGAGCAGGGCTCCCTAGGACAAGGTCCATGAAGAGGCACCAGGCAGATCCATAAACTATTTGAAATTGTGCACAAAATATCTATATACAGTACATATGCAAATTTTCTGGTTAAGACCCACAGCTTTTATCAGATTTTCAAAAGAGTATGTGATGTGACCACAACATTTTTAAGAACACTACAATTGAGGGTTTCCACTGTAGTATTGTTTTATCTGGAAAAATTCAGTAGGGAAGATCATTAGTTAATTGAGTGAAATCTATAGAAAAGTGAAAAATTCACTCATAGACCTATAATTTAGTGATTTTTAAAAGGGACCAACCATTTAATATCTTCTTATGACCTGAAACAAAGAATCATTAAAATTACTTAATTCAGTAAGCCAAAAGTTACCACAAAAATACTACCAATAATTAACATATATAATACAATGATGACCTTAAGCATCACATTCTTGTTCAGCATTATTATCCTGATTTTAATAAATCAAGAAACCAACGCATGACAGTCCTTACCCACTGGTTCACAGAAATCCAGGGTTGTCCATTTTCCACAGGAGCATGCATATAATATTCCCTCATTTGTAAATCTGTTCTTAAGAGTATGAAGTCTTAGTTGCTCACAAAATAACTCCCTTGACATGGACACAAACTTCTTAACCTATGCCTTCTTTCACACTACCATGTATGCAATACCAAAAGTGAATGGTTAAATTTAGTATTTCACACTACAAAAGGTCTTTAAACAGCGACATCAAGATAGCCTTTGCATATAACTGTCATCACTCAAAAGAATATCTAAAAAGATGTCTGACCTGGTATCAGTTCATTTAAAATTTAGCAATCAGCCTATAATATTACTTATTGGAAGGGATGTTATAGCATGCTATATGGCATTGGGCCCCAAAATATACCACAAACATGCAGAAAATTTTTAATATCATCCTTTAAAGATATTTTACCTTTATATTTATAAACATTAATGCATACAAAAAAGCTGCCCATACAATTTTGAAAATCCTAAAATATATGAAGGTAATAATTCTAAAAACATGCAATACAATCCAAAATCTTTCACACCACAGCAGGCATACAATGAAAAAAGCAGCAAAGCTACTTTTAAAACACATGCCAATGAAAATTTTATTTAGGAAAACAAAACAAGCCAAACAATTCTGGAAATGATTTGGTGCAGTGGTCAAGTTTGAAGAAACGGAAATTCATATTTAATTGCAGGTTTCCACACATGAACTAGATGATGAAAATTTAGAGTAACAGAAAACTAATTTCAACAGTTGATGTCAAAAAATGAGTTATTTTTGGTTTTATGAAGATTATGATCAATTAAGTAATGGGATAAAGAAAAGTAAATAATGACAACAAAATCATGTTTTAATATGCACGCTGGTGACACCCAAATTTGGGTCCTCAAAAGTTTGAAGGAAAAAAAAAAAGTTTTGTCCCTTTTCTGTATACCTCTGCTATCATGGTGTAAAACACTAAACTTCTTAAATCAGATATTAAATTAAGACATATAATTTTTCAAACTCATTCAAATAGGTATCTTGGCTATCTTTCTAAACAGATCTTGAAAGCTCTCAAATATTTCTTACAAACGTAAAAGAATTTTTATTTCATCTGTCTTATACTCCTTTCATGGTTTTCATAAAAACAAACAGATGTTCAGAGCAATAAAGAAAATGAGAATCTTAGGATATTCTGGGAAATAAACCTAATGAAAAAAATCAAGGCAATGGAACTAAGAACAAAATGTAATAGTCAACTTTCTACTTTCTGTGGCTGTGCTATCTGATATAGTAGCCATTAGCCACATGTGACTTTTAATATTTAATAAAATTTAACATTCAGTTATTTGGTTACCATAGCCACATTTGAAAATCTCAAGAGCCACATGTAGCTAATGGCTACCGTATTATATGATACAGAGTTGAACATTTTCATTATAGTAAGAAGTTCTATTGAATAGTATTGCTCAAGAAAAATAGAGGGATCATGGCAGACAGGAGAAAGGACTAGATTGCAGCTCCGACAGAGCAGCATGTGGAGGCCCGCATCGTGAAATTTTGCTCCAGAATGACTGAAATTAGGAAACTGGGAGGACCCAGAGACCCCTGAAGGAAGCAGATTGCTCCTGCAGGACCCAGGAGACACCCCAAATACTTCAAGTGCTCAAACTGTGAAGTAGAAAAGGGAGACTGTCTGCCCCCGAACACACCTCCACTGGGGAAACTGAAGGCCTGGACAACAGGAGAAGATTTTGACCTTACCTGGAGCTGAGTCAATTTAGAGAGCTGAGTGAAATACAAGGGTAAAGGAAGCAGCAGGAAAACCCTTGGAAGCTCAATGGACCCCCATTAACTCATTTTTGCCTGGCCTCACAGGGATCCTTCAGGAGGGTGGCCAGAGGCTAGGGAAAAGGCCACAGAGGAAGGAAATCTCCAGATGAAGTTTCTAACAATTTGAACTGATCGGTAAGCCTCCTGGCCAGAACTTGGGAGACAGTGTAAATCCAGTGTACAGATTCTACAGGCAAGAGAAGGAAAGCCATACTTGCTTTTGCAGCTAGGAGGTGAGTAGACTTCAAGTTCTCAGCCCTGCTTACCCACTGCCTGGAAACAAACTTGCTACTGTTGTGGGGGGCACAGTGGAAGTGACATTGGCCCTCTGGATTCTGTGAGAGCTGGGGGAGACCTCTGTCTGCTTGCTTTCCCCTACTTTGCTGACAACCTGCATGACACACCAGTGGTGGCCATAATCCTCCTAGAAATGTAACTCCATGGACCTGGGAACCTCTCAGGTCAGCCACACATGGCTGGGAACCACACAATCTCCAAGGGAAGCCCCCAAATCAGCCACAGCAAGAGCTGCTCAAGGAAAGTCAGAGCTCAGACACACCTAAGCCCTGCTCCCACCCAATGGTCTTTACCTACCCTGGCAACTGAAGAAAAAGGCTATATAATCTTGAGATTTCTAGGGCCCTGCTCATTGTCCGTTTCTCTCCATACCACCGCACCTGATGCTCTCTGGAAAGTGACACCTCCTAGCAGGAGGCCAACCAGCACAAAAATAGGGCATTAAACCACCAAAGCTAAGAAGCTTACAGAATCCATTTCACCATCTGTCAGTCACCTCCATCAGAACAGGTGCTGGCGGTATCCATGGCTGAAAAACCCAAAGACAGTTCGCATCACAGGACTCTGTGCAGACAACTCCCAATACCAGCCTGGAGCCTGGTGTACTTGCTGGGTGGCTAGATCCAGAAGAGAGAACAATCACTACAACTTGGCTCCCAGGAAGGCACATCCATAGGAAATGGGAGATACATCAAAAAACATCCCATGGAACAAAAGGAACTGAACAGCGGCCTTGAGGTCTAACCTTTCCTCTGACAGAGCCTAACCAAATGAGAAGAAACCAGAAAACCAACTCTGGAATGTGACAAAACTATGTTCTTTAACACCAGCAAAAATCACACTAGCTCCCAGCAATGGACCCAAACCAAGAAGTCATCCCTGAGTTACCTGAAAAAGAATCCAGGAGGTAAGTTATTAAGCTAATCAAGGAGGCACCAGAAAAAGGCAAAGCCCAAGGAAATCCAAAAAATAATACAAGAAGTGAAGGAAGAAATATTCAAGGAAATAGGTAGCATAATAAAAAGCAATGAAAACTACAGGAAACAATGGACACACTAATAGAAATGCAAAATGATCTGGAAAGTCTCAGCAACAGAATCAAACAAGTAGAAAGAAATGCAGAACTCAAAGACAAAGTCTTCGAATAAACCCAATTCAACAAAGATAAACAAAAAATAAGAAAATATAAATAAAGCCTCCGAGAAGTCTGGGATTACACTAAATAACCAAACCTAAGAATAATCGGTGTTCCTGAGGAAGAAGAGAAATCTGAAAGTTTGGAAAACATATCTGAGGGAATAATTGAGGAAAAGTTCCCCAGCCTTGCTAGACCTAGACATCCAAATACAAAAAGCACAAACAACACCTGGGAAATTCATCGCAAAAAATATCATTGCCTAGGCACATTGTCATCAGCTTATTAAAGTTAAGATGAAGGAAAGAATCTTACGAGCTGTGAGACAAAAGCACCAGGTAACCTAGGGGAAACCTATCAGATTAACAACAGATTTCTCAGCAGAAACCCTACACGCTAGAAGGGATTGAGCCCTACCTTCAGCCTCCTCAAAAATACAGTTATCAGCCAAGAATATTATATGAAGTGCTTCATATATGAAGGAAAGAGGAGAGTCTTTTTCAGACAAACAAATGCTGAAAGAATTCAGGACAAGCAAGTCACCACTAAAATAACTGCTAAAAGGAGCCTTAAATCTTGAAACAAATCCTGGAAACACATCAAAACAGAACCTCTTTAAAGCATAAATCACACAGGACCTATAAAACAAAACTATAATTTAAAAAACAAAAAGAAAAAAAAACCCCAAGGAATATAGCAAAAAACAGCATGATGAATGAAGTGGTACCTCATATCTCAATATTAACTGACTGCAAA